AGAGGGAGGCCTTTAGAGAGAGAAAGAAAATGCATTTTAGAGAGAAATATTGACTTTTAGAGAGAGATAAAGAGAGATTGAAGATTGGTTTCAATAGGGTAGAGTGTAAAGGCAGAATTCAGGTCGGGTATGGCACAGGCCGCCTCACGCCGCCTAATGTGCCACGTGGTGAGTAGCCCAGCGCAAGGGCATTTTGATTCTTAAGTCAGATTTGAGTGATTTTTGGACTTTTAGAAAGCTCTCTGAGTCTACTATAGCATGGAATAGTTTTAGGACATAAACTAAGTCTAAGTGCGTTAGAGCTCACTAGGGCTGGTATGGTTCTTAGGGTTAGAATCAAGGTTTTTAAGGTACTCCCTTAGCTAGAATTTCGAAGGGGGTATCTATGATGTGATTGAAAAAAAAATTATAAATTTGTATCTCACACTTGGCTATGTGGTGTAGAGATGTTCAATTTTTTGGGAAATTGAACTCTTTTAGAAGGTCATTCATCTAGTTGAGTAGTCTTCAGTTAGAAGTGCAATGTTTCGAGGGCATCACCCTAAGATTCGCCTATATTAATGTAAAAGCTTGGCCGCCTTCCAAGAAATGTGCCTTCTTTGAATCACTCATGAAAATCATGATATGGTGCATATGGATTTTACAATTGTGTGGGTAGATTGAAATGGATCACAAGTCAGAAAGAGAATATGTGTCATTTTTTAGATCTATCTTAAAGAACATAATTCTAGGTTTGTTCATTTACTGACAGTCATAACATTCAACATTACATTACAAGGAAACTCAAGTATTTAATAAAGTTTCTCTGACGCATCGTCTTTTCTTGATTTTTCAATTGACTATTTAAGTAACTTTAAAACAATTGGGCGATTATCATTTTTAAACTATTATAAAATTATTATCAACGCAAATGAATGATTAGATCAATCTTTCCATCACTAAGTGAGTTAGGGCAAGTTTGGCCGATGAGAGAGGCCTACTCCCTACCATAACAATAATAGCTACATAACCAGTGGTTTAAAAAAAGGATCGGTGCCTGGATCAGGTACCCAAAAAACCCATCCTGATCGGTGAATGGGCGATACGGATTAGGAATCGGTCAAATCGATTGAATTCAGCATTAAAAAATCCCAAAAAATTATTAAAATTCATTATAAATATTGGTTTTTAAGAATACAATAAGAAATGGGGGTACTCCAATAAGAACTTTCATTTTTTTTCTTTAATATGCGAATATTGAGATGTTCTTTCCTTGTATGAACTACATTAATTTTACATCACAAAAAAGGAGAAGCATATAATTATTATGGATGAAATATATCATCATACATAGACTCTAATAAAGCATTTAATTCGTAAAATACGACCTAATAATAAAAGGAAACAGGACGTCATTCTTCATCTTGGTCATGCTGGTGCTATTGATTAAATCCGAGTGACAATTCATTGACTCGATCTAATAATAAATCATCAAAATTAGTGGACACCTAATGATTAGGTGTCGCGATCTTACCTTCCCGGAACTAGGTGATCGGGTGACACATGTGTCAACACCCGGGACCTGAGATCACTCTCTTAGGAACCTCATTCACAGAACAAGGGCAGGTGTCCAACTGGCGAGAGAGGAATTGAATGTGAGATGGGGATCAACCTGCCCTGGGTCCAAATGGCAGATGTCAAAAGAGGGCAGCTCACAGCAGCCAACCTTTGTTAATGACGGATAGCTGATGGTACATTTATAAAATTAAGAGAATTAATGTGAATGTCCTAAATTACAGCTATTTACAAAATCTACGAAGATGTTTGATTTTATGCTTATACTTGCTTCTTCATTTTTTCTTTTTCTTTCTTTTCTTTTATTCTTCTTCTTTTTTCTTTTTTCTTTTTTCTTTTTTTTTTTTTTTTTAAATTATCATTGCTTTAGACTTGAAGATTTGAAATTTAATTTTTTTTCATGTAGAACTTGATGTTGTTCCAAACATGACTTCAAAGCTTCCGTGACTAGTGATTGTTTTTTGTTTTGTACTTAAAGAAATACCTATATAAATTAATTTTTTAATTTTTCCATTATGTTATATTTTATATATAAATATTTAATTGATTTATATTATTTTAAAAAAAAATCCATAGTTTTCTTCTGAATCGGTCGAAGCACCAAATTGTTTCATTTTTCTCACCAAATTGAAAAAAACTCCGAAAAAAATCTGACAGCATTGGTTTGAATTGTATCCGGTAGAAACCAAAAAAACATAAATTCCTTATTTGGATTGCCTAAAATATCTTTTTCTTAAAAATGCAAATACTCTCTCTCGTGTTTCCCCCATGCGCGCATAACAACTACAAATATTTGCAAGTGATCGTGAACTCTTGAAACACTTCCCTTCTGAGACAAATCTCCACTCAAGTAACAGCAAGAATCAAGTACTCATCCAAAGAATGGAAGGGAAACAAGTGCCGCAAGACAAGTTTCCCTCTAGCAAGGAAAATATTTTTTAGAAAGTTTCTCTTTAAAAAATTTGAGATAGTTTCTCTCTAAACTTTGATATAATTTTTTTTCTTAAATTTAGTACACTTTTTCTTTCCAAAACTTAATTTGAAATAATTTCTCTCTTGAGATAGTTTCTTTCTATAAAATTTTAGATACTTTCTCTCGCTAACCTTAAAATTTGAGATAGTTTCTCTCTATAAAAATTTTGAAATAGTTTCTCTTTAAAAAATTTCAAATAGTTTCTCTCTCTAAAATATGATATACTTTCTCTCTCAAAAATTTTAAGGTACTTTTTCTATTGAAAACTAAAAATTTGAGATAGTTTCTTTCTAAATTTTTTGAGGTAGTTGCTCTCGTTAAGAAAATTTAGGTAATTTCTTCCTCTAAAATTTGATGTAGTTACTTTGTCTAAAATTTTAAGATGCTTTCTCTCTCAAAAACTTAAATCTTGCGGTAGTAATTTTCAGGTAGTTTTTTTCTCTAAAATTTTAATATATTTTCTCTCTAAATCTAAAATTTGAGATGGTTTCTCTATCTAAAAGTTTTGAAATAGATAGTTTCTCTATCTAAACTTTTGAAATAGTTTCTCTAAACATTTCAAGTACTTTCTCTATCTAAAATTTGATATCGTTTCTCTTTCTAAAGTTTTAAGATGTTTTCTCTCTCTAAAACTTAAAATTTGAGATGATTTCTCTCTAAAAAAATTTAGCTAGCTTCTCTATCTAAAATTTAATATCGTTTCTAATCTCTAAAATTTTAATACACTCTTTTTAAAAATTAAAAGTTGAGATAATTTCTCTCTCTAAAGTTTTGAGGTATCTCTCTCTAAAATTTTAAGTAGTTCATCTCTCTAAAATTTAATGTAGTTTCTCTCTGTAAAATTTTAAAATACTTTCTCTCTCTAAAGCTTACAATTTGAGATAGTTTCTCACTCTAAAATTTTAAGATGCTCACTCTAAAACTTTAAATTTGAGATAGTTTCTTTTTAAAAAAACTTGAGATAGTTTATCTCTATAAACAAAATGCATGTATTTTCTTTCTAAGAATTTCATATATTTTCTCAAATTTGATATACTATATTTTCTCAAATTTGATATACTTTCTCTCTCTAAAATTTTAACATATTTTTTTGATATAGTTTCCTTCTCTCAAATTTTAATATGTTTTCATTCTTCAACAGCAAAATAGGGCATGAAAGGTCAATTCCATCTATTTTGGTGGAATTGAGATTTCCAAAGTTTATTCTTAAAATGAGCATTCAGGAATCCCACATAAATCTTAATTCCAACCGAAATGTTAATTCTAAGTGAACCAATTGACCTGGCTTTTTTCAAGTAAAGTACTCTTAGAAATCTGAATCCAAGAAACCAAACAGGCCATTGGTGTTATGTATCTATATTTCAAAAAGTAAAAAGTGTAGTTTGTATAGAGCGGAGGCTCTAAACAATCAAAGTAAATCGCACCTTCAAATAGTGTCAGAGAAAAATGGTTTCCATTTTGGAAATCTTTGTGATAGACTTGAAATATATATTTTTATCTTTATAAAATTTAAAGCTTCAAAAATAGTGTAAATCGAACATATCTATGAAAACTTGAAAATCGATGATCCAAAAATGTGTTGCAAGACGCTCTATTTCCAAAACTTGAAATCCATCTTTTTCTCATGTCCATGCATCTTAATGTCGAGATGATCAATTTGATGATATTTGAGCATCAAAACAAACTCTTCTAGTGAAATTTTTGAGGTGGGCTCTAATTTGATTATTTAGAGCCCTGGCTCTATGTAAACTTCTTCCAAAAATACACTGTACATTGAAATAACCGTACCCAAAAATCTCTTGTTTTGACCTACAAAGGATGATAATGCCTAGAAATTCTACAAAATCATGACCACTCCTTTATATCTTTCATCATGACTAAATTAGTGAACATGATTATTTGTGTGAGTACTAGGGCTAATACATTTTATGTTGAAGAATGGTTTGTACAGTTATTTCAATTTATGACTATCTCATAAGACAAATAAAACACTGGTCGTTTGGCACAACTGTAGGCTGCTGTTCACCTGCCGAAATGAGCTGGCCAGTTCTGATCCGTCTCGCTGGTTCCTTATGGTCTTTTGTTATTGAAAAGAACAACAAAAAATGATGGGAACTGTGTGAGGTAGAGGTCTTTAGACCGGGAGGGAACCCACAGACCAATTCCAAGCTGGCTTGCTGTTTTCTTTTTCTGGCAAGATCATAAGCCTTTATTAATAATAATAAAATGAAACATTACCTTTACAAGGGAAGAGATTCAGTAATTATGGCTTGTCGTTTTTTTGTATGCGCATGTGCGTGCGTGCGTGTGTGAGCTGTTGCTCCACCCATTTTGAAATAATTTGAAACAATGTATTACAAGGCATAGATGTAGCGGCCCAGAGTACTCAGTTGTGAGGTAAAAATCGCAGCAAGTTACAGCAACCAGCTTGAGTTGCATCTCTCTACTGCACTTATACTAGGGAAACCGTACATCAATTCATTGCTCCTGATATTAATCACTTTTTTGGAACCCAGTTCAACTATCAAACTTGATACCATACCATGAATACAACCACCAGCTAAGATACTAACAATACAGACATGCAACTTAAACAACCAACAAAAACTTCAGTCTACATATCCCCTCCTTCTCGGAATAAACCGAATATAAGGAAAGTCAGTATTCGTTTAGAGTTTTCTAGGTCAACACACCCATTCATCATGGTTCTATATACAAATGGAAGAGTCAATTGAAAAATACTTACAACATCTCTGACATTTGAATAGAAAACCAACCATATCCAAGAGTGGAAGTAGCAGAGAGCAACGCGAGCTAGATATTTATGGTCTTCACAGCCTCTCCACTCACCTGCGCATGCAAGACCATCTGAACCTAGGGCCGGCAGGCACAGGAGGGCCTGGCACAACACATGACATGTCGCCCGACAATGTTATCCACAGGAAGAGGTCCCCTACAAGAAGCCAAACCATGGCAAGAATGAATTCACATGAATAACAGAATGAGAATACATACCGAGAATGCATTGGTCTTGGACAATTATGTCCCATTAAGGACAAGACCACAGTAGAGAATGGTGAATAGTGGAGGTCAGGATCCACCAGAACTGCACAGAATCCTAATTGTGGGCCCCATTATTCATGAATGGTGGAAACCCCAAATGGAAAAAAGTATTCTATGGTCCATTTTGAGTGTATAATTCTCTTGAATATCCTTCCATCACACAAATATGAGATTAAAATAAGCCAATGGTGTACAGTATAAGGTAATCCACAAGGGCATCCATCATCGGCGTTCCTGATACAAAAGCTGGGGATTCACTATACCAAGGTGAATAATCTGGAGGTCACCCTGTAGTGAATCTTAACTATCTATCATCAGAAATAGATGTATGGATGCCTCTTTAACCTCCCATTTGGTATACCTTATCCTTTAGTATTTTTAGGGATCATATACTACAGTCAACTTGATGCTTTAAGCCTAATAGGGCTCGCAAAGGGTTGGGGCAGCCTTGGTCTTAACCTGGCCCCAGTCTCCATAGGCCGGCCTGAGCCCATCTAGGCACCAGCCTGGCCCCTGGTCCAGCCCAAACAAGTCCATGGCCAAGGCCTTTGGCACTGGCCTTATCAGGTCTAGGTCAGGCCAAATACAAATAAAGGAAAAGAAAGAAGAGAAACAAAGGAAATAGGACCAGGTAGGGCCAGTCTTGTCATGGCCCAGGCCCGGTAGCCCAGGCCCTAATTTTTAGGGCCAGGCCAACCGGGCCAGCCGATCCATATCCAGCACTAAGCCTACATGCATTTTCTGTTCCAGTTTTCCCCAGTGGAAGGTCGGAGATTAAATGGAGTGAAGATAATTGGACATTTGCCAGGATAAAATTGGTCTCCACCATCTATCTTCAGACAGGTAGATGCTCTCTTCTGTACCATACACCATAAACCATTGGTGTATGGCCTTCTTCATTTATTACTACTCACCAAATGTGGGAATCACAGCTATTGTTCCGATTGTCACCCATCACAAACACACAACCTCTTGGCACATACTGCACAAATAAGCAAGGCAGGTTAGAGGTCTCAGAGCACACCGAGGAAGCAGAGAGACCGTGCGCAGCCTGAGGCTCATGAGGCACTCAGATATGTCAACAACATGGAGTCAGCCCACTAACTCACTAACTCCTCTCCCACATCACTGTTAATGAACCTTTATCTCTCTCTCTCTCTCTCTCTCT